TTGACTTCCTTGCCGGAACAGCTTCAGCAGAATGCCTAGGCAGAGATTTAGAAATGGAGGAGGAGACCTGCGCTACAGGCGGTAAATATTGGAATGAATACACTCCTCCTTCACTCCTCAATCTAGTGTATTAGCTGTTAGTTCTTGTGCTGGATGAGCCGCACGCTGATGGCTCCTAGAGAACGATCATGAGCTTCAACCGTACCGCATCCACCACGCGTCCGTGCCGTACTGGGTGCTCGTATGCAAGCGCTGACAACGCAGCGCAACATGCAACGCCAGCATGGCGTTGATCAGAATGTAGATGACAGCAGCCGTGGCGTTGCTCAGACTGCAAGCAGTAGCAACGACAGTAGCATGGGTGCTTCTGTCAACGGAATGCAACGCACCAGCGGTTGAGCACCTTTGCAGACTACAGTCATCTCACATCTTTGCCACAGTTGCGCGCTGCGTACCAACAAGTTCCATGCAACGGCAATCCACTTGGAGGACATGTCTGTGATCCAGTACGTGACGCAATATAAACTGTGGCGTCGGTCCTTTCGTTTTTTGTGTCGTTTTGATTTTACATTTTACGTATGAAACTTTGAATTTGCCATTTTCAAGTTGAAAACGTGTATAAAGCCTGATGGTACATACATGTTGACTTAGTCCTGGATTCATCGGCGATTTATAGTATTGTGAATTTCGACCAAATTTGACGAATCGGGTCGGTTTTGGGGCCCCTGTCCAAGCGACCAATACAAACATCAAGTCATTTGCCGATTTGCCGGCCAACAAACATATGGTTCTGTGCCCGCACAGCACCCGATAGGCACGCGTTTTTCAAACAGATGAATGCTTTGAAACGGATAGACCATGTATCCGTTAGACACCCGAAGGCACCAGCTACGTAACCTTCGTGAAGAAGCCCATTAGAACGCAAGCGGATAACGAGATTGCGCTCTTATATGCCCATTTTTCTGGATATATAATAAATTAATTGCGAACAAGGGACTAAACTCGAGGGCCAAAACGAATCATACATTTACTATTCACCTTCATGATGCAGGTTTCCCGAGCGTCAGCATGTAAATATTGACGACGAAGATACGATTTATCTAGTGTCGGGGTGGGCCCTATTACATGTATATTCGCCATTTTACCTTTTTTTAACAGGAAATGTCGCAAAATCAACTTTAGGATATGGTACGGTGGTTTATTGTTGGAACCAATTGCATCGTAATACAGTCATAGTTGTTTTGGTTACAATTTATAGCAACAATGCTATAATGTTTGAGGCAGTACACTTCAACATAAAATTTAAATTGCTAGGCGCTTGTTTTCCATAGGTCATCCTTGTCACTCTCCAACCGTGATGCCCAAGAATAACAAGCGCCTCGCACATATTGGCAAGCTAGCCGACTCAATGCGCTCAATCGCTTTCCGCACTCAGGAACCAGCCCGCCGACCAGCTTTAGCTAAAAGAGCCGGGAGCGCCGAGTGCCCATGCGCGTGAAGTTGCAAGTGACTCGAATTCTTCGGAGAGTGATAGCTCTGGCATTGAAGGGTCAAATGCGTATACTTTAAAGTTTATATATGAAAACAAACTGATGTCTGTGGCCCCGACTACGACTTCGTGAGCTGGGTTGAATATCCCCGCCGCAGCCAGCAGCAGACTTACTTCAAGATGCCATCGCCCGCTTTCAAGAGGAAGAGATCGGCGTGATTTGTCCAGTGGACCGCAGAGTAACATTTCGGTTTGACTTCGCACATGCACACATTCAGACCCACAACGCTGACCCCTCGCGTAGGCGAGCACACAAAGGCCAGACCTCCAGTCCATACCTTACCCGTATCCTACCCCAAAAAATAATCTACTAGCACAATGCGTTGTGCTTATCTGTCGCTAAGCCTTCGGGTAGTGATCTGATCGATATGGTTGGGTTCGAGGGTGCTTTTGATGAGGGCCACAGCGCATCACTTAAGTGGGTCGCGAAGCGCTAAAAAAATATCGATAACATTGACATGGACAGACGGCAAGCGACATTGTATCGGTAAATACTGCAGCGATTAAAAAACGTGAGGAAAGGACATGGCTACAGACGCCTACCCGGGTTTTTAACCACTTTTGCAGATCAAAATCGCGACTCGAGAGTGTGTTGCCAGTTGGATATCGACGGACGATTCTGTCGTCTGTTTATTGCTATTGGGCCTCTCGTTAAGAAACACTTTTGTCTACCTGTAACTCAGACCGATAGAGCTCATATGAAAAGGGCTCATTACACCTTTGATTGACTATGATTGGATGAGATGGAGATGGAAAAGTAAAAGTGCTACTACTTGCAGTGAACTTCTGAGAGTGATGATTGTTTTAGTTGGGTTTTCGCAAACGACATTGCATCTAGGATTTCCATGAGTGGGCTTCCACTCTTCTTAGGTCGTCGTAAGCAACGAGAAGCTCAGCTACACATGGTATCTTTTGGCTACAAAGTGAACTTAAAGTTTTGTAAAGTTACGCTGATCCGGTGTCTTTTTACGGGATTCGAGGTACCAAGTGCTGTAGAAGGAAATAACAGTGGCCTACTTTTGAGTACAACAGAGTTTTCATGGCAACAGTTTTATTTTGTAAGTGTCGCTACTGTGGTGGCAAAGCAGGAATTACTGAAGTTGCGAAATGAGTTCAATAGTAACGTCACTCGCAAAGGGCAAGATTTATTCGACAAAGAGCTGGAACGATCGTCATCGTGTACAGTCAGACCGGCTGATGCATCGGGTGTTCCGTTTTTTTTGTGATCCGCAACAATCGGATGACGTCACGACAAGTTTGTTAAAAACAATTAGTCGTACTCACGTTGTCAATCTCGATGCTCGTGCGAGAGCATCCCTGTCGTCATACAATTGCTTTTTTTCAAAAGAACTACCAACGAGCCAAAACGTTCGGCATTTTCGCTGCTCAGACCGTGTTATACTGTGGTGAACAACAGGGAAGCCTTCGAGTCAGTAAATTTTAGGGTACCGTTACTCAGTGAGATAATGCCGGACAACCCCCTTCCCTACCAAGAGGCTGGTAACACCTAACATTCAGCTCCGGTGGCTGACAAACCCAAGCGCAAACGCGGACTCTAAATCGCGGAGAAATGACTGGGACTTCTCCGTATTGTCGCCCTTGTGGCTTCCCAGAAAGACGTGGTAATATTGCAGTGGCCGACATCTATGACACATTGCCACCATTGAGCCAAAAGATTAATGGTATGCCTCGAGCTCAAACTTTACCGTTTCAGCACCTACGGAAAGGAAGAAACCCCAATACCGCTACATGCACGGATACACAAGTTAGCGCGAAACCTCAACCCGGCAATGAGATTCAATCCGGCCTCTACGTAGTCGGTAACTAACCATTCTACCAGCTCAGCTAGTTACCTGAGTGCGAATATATTCCTATCAGAGCGTGGGGCTTCGCAAGACTTCTTCAATACACATATGGTTAGACGGGTTTGATCACTTATCGACGAATTTTCACCTTTTAGTACTTCTCCTCCTCCTCTAGGTCTGCTCCAGATCGCGCATGAGGCATTCCCCGTTCATGCGAGCTTCGCCTCGATGCTCTTATTTTCTGCCAAGCGCTGACACTACATCCGCTTATGGTGCCGAACGTCGAGCTGGCAGCGGCTCTTCATGTCCTCGGCCACCAAGGCCGGCACCGTCACATCCACTTTCCCCATCATCATGTCGTGTTTTTCGGCGGCAGAGTGTCGGGCGTCTCATCATTCACCTCATGCTGTGGGGGGGGGGGGGTCCAGCATGGTCCTCCCTCGCCGTCGCGTACGCCTGCTCCGTAGCGGTAACCGCTGGCTTGCGGATGGTTCGTCGTCTCCTTATACAAAATCAAGATGTACGTGTCTCCGTTGAATCTTGTCAATCGCGGCAGTTTCAACCTTTTTGAGCACCTTAATAGACGTTATTGTAGCTATTTAATCGAGTTAGTTCATTTATTATGCTTGAAACGGCTTTCCAAAAGTTTGTTACCAATCTAACCGATAGCTTACGGGGTGCGGCTATTATTTTGACCCGACCCGAAGTCAGTTTTCCGTCCATTGCGAAAAAAACGGCGAGATCTTTTTCAATTCTGATTTTTGCATCTGTTTTCTTTCGATTTTACCGCGGGAATTAGCACTCACACACTGCGCTCAGACACCGACTAACGGAGGGGGTACTCCGATAACCGTAGGTTGCTGACTCACCTCGACGGGCTGGATTGCCTCTCTCGTTAGCACGAGACACGCAGAGAGTGAGCTTGAACGGCCTTGTCGGGGGCTTGGGGAAATGTTGGGTTAGATCCGCAGTGGGGGATCCTTCACTCGGATCAAGGTAGGCTGATCCTTGGTCTTGGCCGTAGATCTTGTGGACCCGACAAGTAATATACCAGATCCGGAGTTGTTGCCTTGTTGGTGGTGTTGTATCCGTTTCCTTTACGTTGCTTGCCGCCTCCTATTAGCGGAGGAGTTGGGGAGGGGGGGGCGAAGACCGAAGGGCGCGAGCTGCTGGACAAGCTATCCAGTAGTCTGCCACGTGTGCGGGGGGCAAATCACTTGATTAAAGTATGGTGCAATATTAATCCCAAAACTAAGGCCCAAGTGTGTGGTTCCCAAGCACATTCGACTCTGATTTAAGTTAGCCTGTACCCAGCCTTCCCATCCGGCTTGGATCCTATCCACTACTGACTCGCCATCCTGCCTAATTATCCCAACATAGCCACTGTGCCAATAAACTGGTACGGATCCATACCTAATCTGGGAAGTCCTAATGTAGGTGACCGGACCTGTGTGCACCACACCACTTGTACCTGATCCAACTTCAACTGCCCTGGTCCCACCTCCATCCAGCAACCATGGCGTCGTCCGAGGGACCAGGAATCGTCACCAACTGCCGGATCCCATTACCTGGTCAACTGCAATGGACTCATCAAGATCACCATACAGAAAAGCCGTCTTCAGGTCGTACTGAAAAATATGCTAATCATGCTGAATACAGCGCTCGAATGCTGCAAGGAGTTTGGCCTAAAGCTTCACGCAAAAAAGTATCAGTTCTTCTCCAAGGATATGACGTGGTGTGGCAGGATGATTTCAGGCGACGAAGTAAGACACTGTCCGGATCGAACCCAACGACTGGTTGACATGCTGCTGCAGCACTTCCTGTGCTCGGTGAACTGGATGCGCCAGAGCATTCCCAATTCACCCGCATTGCGGCGAAGCTCTACGACACGCTGGAACGTGCCGCCCAGCGCGCCGGCTCCAGGAAGAAGCTCAAGCCGTCTCGAGTTCGGCTTGAAGCGATTGGATGGGGAGAAGCCGAAGTTAGCAGCCTGGAGGCGATTTGCGGCTGTTTGCCCCAGGTGGTACCCCTTGCGCATCCAAAAACGAGAGCGGTGTTGGTACTCTACACCGACGCAAGCCAAGATCACTGGGGCGCGATTCTCACGCAGCTGGAACCAGGCGGGCTGGCGCTCCCGTTGGGAGAGCAGAAGCACCGGCCGTTGGCGTTTCTGAGCTGTCGCTTTGCCGGCATTCCAAGCCTGTGGCCGATGATTAAGAAAGAAGCGTTTGCGATTGTCAAGGTGACGCGCCGGCATGACTATCTACTGCTTCGCCCAAAAGGATTCCGGCTGTATACGGGCCATCGCAATTTGGACTATATGTTTAGTCCATTCACCGCGGATAGGGCCATGGCCCGCTACCGAGCGAACAAGCTCCAATGTTGCTTATGGCTTTTAAATACGTTATTGACCACGTGCCTGGGAAAGCCAATGCCTGGGAAAATCTACTCAGTCGCTGGGGGTGCTGGCGCACCACTACAAGTCACTCTACGTACCGCGCGACTGGCTGTGATTGAACGTGTCTCGCTCCTGGAAGAAGCGGAACTTGTATAGCCGACGGCGACCAAAACATAGAAAATAGCATTTATTCTGTCCTAAGATCCCGCGAACGATGACAGTTATATCCGTCTCGCTTCACCAGAACCATTGCAAACCAGGGGTGGTCCTACGTACAAGCTAGCCCCCCCTCCCAGATTTTGGGAAGCCATCGCACTTAACACCCTATTTCTGAGCCGCTGGACCGACTCGCTCCCGTGTTTTTGAGCCGCCGAATAGACTTACCCCCCTATATGTCTTGTGCGGGTTGCAATGCAACGCACAAGACGTTTCTACGCAGAAGCTACGTGGGCCAAATATTTGACACAACATTCAGGTCGTATAAATATACTACTTCGTTACACGCAAGTGGCAATTTCTTTATTGGGTTTGTTTCTGATAATTAGTGTTTTTACTTTGGGCGAGATCGAACGTGGTGTTACTCTTTTCGGTGCCGGTGCCCTCTTTCTACGAAAAATGGTAAGGACACTGACCAAAGGGAGGCGGAAATGAAAAAAATCAAGTTCTTCTCGCCTTGAAATTGCTCAAGGACAGCGGGGGAGGGGGGGGGGCAAGGGCGTGACCCTCGTAAAGTAAGAGTTCGACGAGGGCCACTTAGAACTAAAGCGACAATAGACCATTCTCTTCTTTATGTGCATATGTATACTGGAGGGAGAGAACAACCAGGAAAAGCTGGGGCGTATTTGTGACAGCATCTTCACTTGCGTAGGTTTGCTGCTCATCGGGTAGACCTGTGCACATGCGCACAGTAGAAACCACACGGCGGTGCGTGGTCGACCAGCTGAATAACACGGAACTGTTTGGACTCCTACCACGACTTAACTCAGCTGTTTCAGAAACAGAATGGTGTTTACTCATCATTTTACTTGGTAGGTATATGGGAGAGCACTTCAAGGCCGTGTCCAACTGCTTGTTGGACAGCACGACCAAGTTCTGTAGTGCTGCAGTAGTGTTTCTTACTGGTATGAGGTAGCTTGTAGTCGCTGCTCTTTTCATTTGTTAACCACTGATCTCATTGCTTACAGGAGTTTAACAATTTTTTTTTGCTAATAGTCAAGAATATACTGAAAGGCTTCGTCGACTGCGTCGATGAGTGCATCACGATTATATTGTAAAAACGTATGTAAGGTATAGAAATCATCGAGGTTTCAAACGTTCATATCGCGGTTGGCGCATCATTTCGGCATACAATAATCTAGGAACACTATTCTATTTTGCCCCCGCTAAAGTTATCGTCGTTGAGAGGGAGGGGGAGGGGCTAAACTGTGCAGGGCGGCTAATAATCGGATATGGCCACAAGAGGCATGGTGAAATTAAAGTTGTATAACAAGTATCAAGTAACGTAATTTACAAATAGTAACAGAATATTATTACATTTGTTTAAGCTCCCTCACTTTCAGTACTAATAGGTCAACCAGGCACGTATCTAGTTTTGTACTGCCAGTTTACTATTTTTGTATTGCCAGTTCTTTACCTGCATGCTGGTGAGGGGGACTACGTAACACGTAATGACCCCTAACAGACCGCATGGTCGTTACGGAGGGGGCTTGAAGGAGTAATGCTATCATTCTCAAAATTGGCTCAAGTGTTCATATAGGTTGCATTAGAAGTTTAACAAAGTTTCGGCGTCAAAGGCCGTGAAGCGGAGCTACAATGCTGTTGTAAGTGCCGAGGTTACACATTGCCCCCAAATCCTGGTGTTATAGTTTATTTTATGCACTTATTATACGGCTTTATGTACCCAAATCGCGTTTTATGTTGCATGTGTAAACGTGATTGATTGCAATATATATATGTGCTTGATGTTACCGCGCCCCACGGCATTGACACGAGGCGGTCCCCAGAAAATTGCCGACGATGTGCCGTCACCTCTGTGACCTGGAGTTTGTATCGGATGCTGATTGGTGGATGACTTGGATACGGCGCGGCTGTACCCGTGTGACATGGATGGCGACTGTGGGAGAGAAGTGATTTCTCGGGATGAATCCAGCGTCTGACCGCAGATGGGCCCAACCGGCTGGAAGTGTGAATCCTGGGAGTGCACGCCCAGAATTTCAGAGAACACTCAGTCCAGCCGCGGACTTTCCCTTACGATGAGTGCCTAAAGTCTAGCGGAAAGTGTCTCTGGAGAATGTATCCCAGAGTACACCTCATCTTGCAGTGGCTCAGAGTGCCCCAGAGGATCAAATTACCCTGAGAATCAACCCACTACCACCGTGATCATGCGCAGGAGGCCGCTAAACCCGCTAAAAGTGTGGCTTTGTGGAGATGCACGCAGGCCTGCAATGTAGCAGACTTGTTACCCAGAGTGCTGCACGGAAACCCAGAGTGCCGCACGATGACCCAGAGTTCACCTCCCTGAGTACAGGTGACCCAGAGTTCCAAAGATGATTCTCTGGGTTTGGACCATAAATCCAGACTCTCTATACTGAACTTAAGTGTTTCCCGAGCCAACACCCAAGAATCCCCACAGTTCCCCATGATTCCTCAGAATTCCCAGGATTTCAGAAGATGACCCTGAGTGTCACTTGGTTTTCAGGGATTCGAGTCAGTTCGAAGCCAGTCTGCAATCAAAATGATGCGTGACCTTGAAGAACCGTCATGGATGCACAGACTGGATACTTTCGAGGAGTCGAGAGGGAGTCCTGCACCATACTAAACCAAGTCTAAGGACCCACTATTGGCACTTTCGACGCCGTGCGACAATGGATTCGCAAGCCGATCGCAAGTTTGGACCGCTGATCCCAAGGTATACTCAAGACAAGACATTTTGATCCCAAGCATAGTGAACAGAAGCTATTTGCCCGAAGAAGAGAGAGAGAGAGAGAAGTAGCTGATAAAAACCAAACAGAGTTTCTTTTACCCTGTACTGCGCAAGTGACTTCGGCTAAGCCTGCCGACGGAAATCCGGAGGACCCGAGACTACGACCGCGGCACATCAACGGCGAAGGACAGCCGTCTGTGTGGGCTCCATCAAAACTCAAGTCCAGTTAGGTGGTGACCAGCGACGGCCTTGAGCTTCCTGGGGTGATCCATCTATTCCATATCCTAGTTGGGTCACTTGCTGTGCTCGTGGTAGCCCATTTCATATTATTCCAGAGGGTATTCTGGGGTGCTAGGTAGTCGCCTCCAGGATTTTGTATTGACTGCTTGTGTGAAGGGAAAGGTAACTGATAGTGATTGTATTTTCCTCCTTTATTGGAGGTGGTGCGCGTTTGTGTGAGTCTCAGGGGAGCTAGGTCCCGAATTTCAGACTCGAGTGAGCCTAGTGTGTGTGTGACCCACCGTCCAAGGGTCCAAAAGAATAAGTGACGGCTAGTTGTAGTGTTTGTATACTCTGTATTTGTTGGTTTTATCGAGCTAGGAGGGCATTTGGGTAAGATGTCTTCTGAGTTCCAAGTCCCAGAGTTGACTGAAATCCTGGACCCTGAATTCGTGATATTCTGGGTTTCAGGGGATCTGATTCTCTGGCTTTGCCTTTTGGTGTGGAGGTGCGTTCTGAAGTAGACGTGCGCTCCCGCACTTCTTCGAGGCTACATTTTCAACCGGTGGAGTGCCGTTCCGTCGAAGACAAACGAGCGGACAGGGATTACACAAGGTACCCACGCCAACCAAGGAGTGTGATTCTCAGGGTTTAAAGCTTTGCGGCTGCGAATCTCTGAGTCTATCTTCTTGCTGTTGACTCTCAAGTCGATTCTCTGGGTCTACCCCTGGGGAACAGTCTTGCCCTGCGCTATACGACCCCCCCCCCTGGGCGACAAAGGTTTCATCGGCCTCGCCTCAGCCGGTGCGCGTGCCCGGATTCGATTGTCGAGGATTTCATCGGAATCAAGTGTTGAAGAAGTGTTGAGTGCCCGTCAACTTCAAGCTACCAAGATGCCTGGAGGACGAGGGGCGAAGAAGAGTGGACGTGGTGACGGAGGACGCGGTGAGGCGTCACGTCAGTCGCGTCGTGTTCAAGGTACAGAGCCGGAGGAGCACAAGGACCTGGAAACAGTCGTCCGCGACGCTCGGAAGGCGAAGAAGGCTACTCGCGAGAGCGAGGCAGTGCAAGGTGGGGACATCGAGGCGTCTGCAGTTCAAGGTCAGCCTGCTGCTGGATCGCAAACTCAGGAGGAAGAAGTTTCCCCTGGGTTCCAAGGTTCGACAGAGGTGAATTCTGGGTCGCGGATTCCTGAAGTCCCAGAGGAGCACGCCCGCGAGGGTGGTGCTCAGGCGTCTGAGGGCGCCAATGCGGTTGAGCCGCCGGAGGTGATTGACTTGGTCTCATCTTCGGACGAGTCTGTTGTGGAAGTGAAGTCGGAGCCCGTGCGAGCGAAGGAGGAGGTGAAGACTCAGAGTTCCAAGGTGAATTCTGGGTTCGCACCACCTGAACCCAGAGTTTCAGCGCCAAGTTTGCAAGCGGCACCCAGGAAGACGCCTGAAAGCGACAACCGGGAAGTTGCTGCGCCTGCTCCGGAATCGGGAGCAGCAGCGTTGGACGCCGAGAGCATGGTGCTGTACGTTCGACGTGAAGTTCGACGCTGGGAAGAGGTGAATCCTGGTAAGGTGACGCCGCCAAGTGTCGTTTATGAGTGGCCGGCTCCGAAACTGGATGCCAACTCATACTTCGCGGCCGCGTATGCAACGGGAGACTACCTCAAGTGGCGTTTGTCTCTGGAGAATCAAGACGAAGCCTGGATCTCTGAGTTTCACCTCGCCCGGTGGGGCGTCGGAACTGTTCAGGACCTCATGGCGACTACTATTCCCCAGAGTATCATGACCACCCGCGATTGCGTCGCCATTCTGCAGACTCTGTTCTTCGAAGCCGGATTTGAGTTTGTCAATTTGATCCCTGGCTGGTCTTCGACGCGTGCTTCCAGGATTCCAGAAAGTCTGGTGCGCTCTGTCATGGAGGAAACCCAGAATTTCATCGCTGTGGAACTGGTCGAGTGGCGATTGGTGATAGCTGGTGTGCCTTTCAAGGTACACTCCGAAGATCACGCCGCACCAAGCGCCCAAGAGCAAGCACCAAGACTGGACTACCACAAGGAAGATGGAGATGGTGATCTATTGATGACGGACTACGATGCGGATCTACTGGGCCGACAGTTCGTCCTGAGATTCAGAGTCACTGGTCTCAGGATTTCACGGAGCCCACGAGGGTCGAGTGATGGTGAGCCACGATCCAAGCGTACTCAGCATGGACCGCCTCGGCCACAAGTTCCGTCAACGCCATCCGCGCTGTCTACACCATCGCTGTCCTCTCTTCCAGCGTACAAGTTTTCGACTGGTGCCTCGCTTCAGAATTCCACTCCCCTGAATTCCATGTCCAATGGACGTGATTCTCTGGAGGCGGAAGCCAAGAACGCTACCCCAGGCGCGGTGCCAAGTGTCATCGGTACCTCGCGCGCTTCGGATGAGAGTACTGCCTCGGGCGTTCAAACGTCTTATGGTAGTTTTTCGTCTTCGTCGATGATGTCGCTTGGACAACGAGTTGGAGCTCTAGCGCTTGTGGCCCAGAGTGCCGGTGGCTTTGCAGCTGCCGGTGATCTTGGATTTCAGGTCACCCGGACAGTCATCCCGTCGCGTATTGTGTCAGTCGACCAAGATGACGTTGAGATGGCATCGTCGGTGCACTCTGACCCAGAGATCGCACCCAGGAAGGCCGGTCTCCCCAAGATTTCAGCCACGACTTCCGAGCCGAAACTCAGGGTTTCTGCCCCGATTGCTGGATTTGGTGGTCCAAGGGATGTCAGCGCCGATGAGCGGAGTCAACACCAGAGCTCTAAGAGCGAGGTGCGCTCTCGACGCTCGACGAAATCCAGAAAATCATCTGCGTCGAGCCGCTCGAGTGGATCCAGGATTCTTGGGTCAGTTTCGTCCGTGTCCGCGAGGTCTGGGCCCGCCCAAATGAAGCTGTACGTCTTGAGCGTGAGCGCCTGGATGCCGCCTACGCCGAGCGCTGGCAATAGCACGAAGCCGAAGCCGACTCGGAGCGCGCGCGCTGGGTTTCCGAGACCTACGCCGCTTGGAAGGAACAAATGTCAACTATGGAGCAGAAGGTCCGAGAACTTGAGGCGGAGAAAGAGCGAGAGCGGGAGTCTTCCGAGAATATCCAGCGCTTCCACGCCGGCCAAGTGCGCGACCTTCGTGCAACATTGGCCCAAGTTCAAGCGCGTCGCGCAACCGTCGCCCCTGATTTGGCAACAAATGTGGGGTCGTCAGTGGCTCAGAACCCTGGAGTTGCAACCCGACCCCAAGAATCCAGTGGCGTAATCAACGGAAACGCAAGTGTCACTGGCCAGAGACGGGAGACAGCTGATCCGAAGAACACGTCCGAAGTCGCCGCCTCCCAGCTGAGAGCGACCCTCGTGCAGACTCCCGCAGACACTTCCGGCAGAATCGCGCGCGTCAAGCGGGGACGTGGCGCTACGGAGACCAAGGTGACGCAGGATGTCAAGCTCGGGCCTGTGTCTCTGGGGAAGACGTCGGATCCCAGGAGAACAGCGACCTCTAAGGCCTCGCAGGACTCTAAAGCAGACCCCAAGCGCTCGGCATCCAAGAAACACCAGCAGAAGAAGAAGAAGCGTCAGGATGTCAATCCACCCTCGGACTCAGACCCAAGCTCCGATTCCAGCGATGATGACTCGTCCTCTGAGAGTTCGGATAATAGTTCGGACGGGAACCCTGGGGTTAACCTGACGACGGCCTCTACGGCTCAAGCTGGCACTACGCTCCTGACGTTCAGACCGTACATCAACTCGAATACTCTGGGTGAGTTCGATACTAAGGCGTCACTCAGGGAACGCGTGCATTGGTGGGAGCGTTTTGCAAACATGGCGGCTTAGGGAGGTTGGTCTACGAAAAACCGAATTCAGGAACTCAAGTTGAAACTCTCGGGAGCTGCGCGTGACTGGTTCAACCAGTTGCCCAAACACACTCAGCGTGACTGGAAGGAGTTGGCGTCTGCATTGAGGAAGAAGTACTGCTAAGCGCGCTCGTCTTACTCTGAACGTTACTTCACGATGGAGATGAAGAACTCAGAGAGCGCCCTGGATTTCTTTTATCGTCTGAATTCCGCCGCTGGGAAGGCTGACATTGACTTTCGCAAGTCTTCTAAGCGCATGGAGAAACATATCCGGAGGTTCATCACGAAACTCAGGGACACGCGCCTCAAGACGTCGCTGCAGGGCCAGAGATTCAGGAGTAGCGCTGATCTAGAGTACGCTCTGGAACAGGACGAAGATGTCTGGAGCCGCAGCGACCATGATGCTCCGCCACCCAGAGTTCGTGACTTTCGTGCCGACAACATTCCTCAGGGACGTTTCAAGCCGAAGCGACAAGGACGTGAGTATGTGACTAGGGGCGATGTCTCTGACTCTGAGTCAGACGAAGACCCTGAAATTCACGCGCGTTTCCAGGAAATCACGGACGAACCCAGAGTTTCAGCCCGAAGTGCGAGCGCGAATTCAGGGTCAACTCGTGAGATCTCTGGAGAAGAAGCTTCTACACCTAGCGCTGGGAGTCTGGCGAGTATGAAGGGTGCCGAGTGGACTCAGACGCTGACGAACGAGGTCTATCGCGTGATGGATAACATGGGATGGCGTCCACCGAACGCCCAACCAGGACCGAACGCGAACTCTGGATTCCGTTCCCCTCGCCGTGAAAACCCGAATTGGGACAAGTTCAGCGAGACGTGCGGCAAGTGGGGGCACCCAGAGGAAAACGGCTGGAAAGGCATGAAGTGTGATCGCTGCCTGGAAGTGGGTCATCCGACTCACTTGTGTCGCGCGCAACCGTGCGAGAACTGTGGCAAACTGCATCTCGGGAAACCGTGTGAAGACTGGAAGACACTGGAAGCTGTGAAGAAACTCGCCCGCCAAGGTGCACTGAAGGACATGCCGAGCCAAATCCTGGATAAACTCCTGGGTGGCGAAGCGAACTCTGGGAGGCCGTCAAACCAATAAGCCCGCAGGGTGGGGACCCAGTACGCGCCGGGCTGAAGAAGGCCCCAGAGTTATGTGTTCTAGTGTATGTTGGCCCGGAGCTGAGAACATGAACCCAAGATAACCAACAATGCATGACTACTTTGACTCAGGATTTCATGACTTCCCCTGAAAATCATCATCCTGAACAAGCGAACTCTGGGTCGGTGAACTCTGAAGAAATTGTGGAGTACAAGCTGAACCCTGGAGAGCGCTACGGATGGTGGGAAAACAATGATCCTGACCCAAAGAAACGTGATGTGGCGATGGTGCATGGTGCTGTGAACGACTGCCGGACGAGAGTCCTCCTGGATACCGGTGCGACTGTGAATATTGTTAGCTTCGACTTAGCGCGTAAGCTCGGACTCACACTCAAGTCGCACAAGCAAACCAAGGTGTCTGGCATAGGAGGCGTTCCCACGTACATCGGTGCCAGTGCTCAGGTGAAGATTACTCTCGGTTCGAGGGTGATATATCTCCTGGATGTCTGGATTGCTAACATCGGCGAAGGGATCGAAGTGCTTCTGGGTATGAGTTTCATGTTTGCAGCTGGAGTCAGGATCAGTGTTCGCGAAGGTCTCGTGACACTTCCGGATGAAGAGGCGATCATGATGTGTGGATGGACTCCAGAGGATCGCCTGGGTGTCGACATGCCCGTGGAAACCACAGGTAGTTGGTACCTGGCCCCTGGGGAATCCAAGGTGGTGAAGATTTCGTATGGACCGACGAACCCATAGCGTGAGGTTGTGTGGGCAGGACGAGGTGACCACTGGGTAACGCACCTGATTTACGCTGCGAGATCCTGGCCGGTCGCCGTGAAGGTGGTCAACATCTCGGACAAGGACCTCTGGATTCACAACAGAACGCCAGTCGCCCGAATTGTGGAGTACGGCTTCTTCCCACGTGCCGGACGCTTTGCGCGCCCTGGTTCGTTTGCGTATCAGGAGTGGCAGACGCTTATTCTGGAGAGTGTTCAGTCGCATGAGGGCAGACTTCGGGCGGAACGCCTGGCTGCGCTTGAGCCATCCTGTGTCGAGACCCCAGAGTATCAGTGGCCTACGAAGATTCTGCGGCGACCTGCAAAGGGCCCCGACATGGCACTGCTTGCCTCGATTCTCAGGAAACCGAAGCCTCATCACGTGCGCTTCGCTGAAGACGCTGCAACTCAGACTGAAGGAGTGCCTCCTGAAGACCCTCCTGAACTCCGAGATGTTGCTGTTGATACGAGTGACTTGGGTGACGTTCTGCGGTCTCCATACGTGAGGGAAGTGAGTTGCTCTCTCAGTTGCGTGACCAGTTGGTTATGCTTCCTGAGATGCGTGACTTGACCCCTGAGTGCAAGATCGAGGAGGCAGATGTTGGAGTCCCTGGGAAAACGACGCCCGAGATGGAAGACCAAGTGAGGCGAATTCTGGAGTATCATCGGAAGATCTTCTTGGGAGACGGCAATGCAGCTCCCCCACCTGCTCGTGGAGTGGTTTGTGACCTGGATGTAGGCGACGCTAAACCTGTTGCCCAGCGTCCAAGGTCCATTGCACCACACCTGTGGACTAAGGTGTATAAACTTCTGAAGAAGCTTCTGGAGAACGGGCTGATCGAGACTTCTACGTCCCCCTGGGCATCTCCAATCGTGATCATCCTCAAGAAGAATGGCGTCGACATCCGGATGTGCATCGACTATCGCGTGGTGAATGGCTTCATCAAGCTCTCACACTATCCGCTGCCGCTTATTGATGATCTTTTGATTGGCTTTGAGTCGGCGATGTGGTTTATGAGCTTGGGCATGGCGAGTGGTTTCTGGGCTATCAAGATGACCGAGAGAGCCAAGTTGATCTCTGCGTTCGTCTGTCCCTATGGGCACTACCAGTGGGTAAGGATGCCGTTTGGCCTCAAGAACGCGCCGCTGATCTACCAGGCAGTTCTCAATAACTGTCTGTGGGGTTTTCTGCGGCTTCCCCCTGAGGAAGAAGCTGAGGTCGACCAAGATGTCTTGTACTTTTTGGGGTTGAACCCTGGGGAACCCAGAGTTTCAGGTGAAAATGCACCGCGACTTTCAGTGTTGATGGATGAGATGACTGTTTTTCAGCGTAACATCCCGGCTCCCTCTCAGATGGGCCCTGTCCTGGGTCGAAGCTCGTATATCGACGACATCGCCCACGGTGCGCCTACTTGGGAGCAGCTGTGCCAGGATCTGAACGCGCTGCTTTTCCGACTACGTTACTGGAATATCTCTGTGAGTCTTCCCAATAGCGAATTCGGGAAGTTGTCCATTCCGTACCTCTCTCACGAGATTAGTGCTGAGGGCATCCTAGCGACCCCTAAAATCGCGAAGGGGGTCCAAGACTTGCCGTTCCCGACGACGAGCTGACTGAGGAACAAGTGAAATCCAGGAGAGACCTGTCGAGAGCCCAGGAAGCTTTTGAAATCCTGAAGCGCAAGATCGTTTCGACTCCGTTGCTCAGACATCCAGATCGTTCAAGGCCCTTCGTGATTACTCCCCACGCGAACCCGTGGGCAGCATCCGCTGTGTTGGGCCAGGAGAACGACGGGATTGTGCACCCGGTTCGATTCACAGGTCGCTTCTTGAATGACGCTGAGCTGCGGTATCACATTGCAGAAAAGGAGGTGATTGCTATCCTGAGAGTCCTGGAGGTGTTTCGCACTTTGGTTGAAGGCAGCCCTAAGCTCGTCGTCTACACGCGATATTCTGTGTTGAAGTGGTTGCTGACCTCGCAGTCGGCAGACGGTCGAACGGTGAAGTGGGGTCTGAAGTTGTCCCACTGGAACCTGGAGATACGCAGAGTTCAACGGGATGAAGACGGCTTGGCTGCAATTCTGGGTGCGGGTATTACCCCCAGAGAACACTTGGATGAGATCGCTGAAAACCTGATCCCAGCTAAGGGGCGCGTTAAACCCTCCAGTGCCTATCAGTATGGAAATGATGGAAGCGGACTACGAGGGGTGTATTCTGAGCTTCGATGGCGCTGCTAAGACTTCCACGCGACAAGGGAGCTGTGGCTGCATTCTGTGGCATGTCCCTGGTTGGGAAATCCTGGATGCCCAGGGATGCATCCTGGAGGACGTGACTGTGAATGACGCTGAGTATCATGGACTTCTGAAGGGCCTCACTCTAGCGATTGAGCGTGGAATTCAGGACATCGTTGTGGTTGGGGACTCCAGGATTGCCATCCAGCAAGCCCAGGGTCTCATCAACTGCAATCAGCCAAATCTCCAGAGGAAGCTGGCCGAGTATGAAGTGCTGAAGACGAAGTTCAAGTCTGTGCGGCTGGTGCATGTCAAGCGAGAGTTTAACCAGGCCGCAGACTACCTGACGTCTAAGACCCTCGCGCTTGGTGAATCCTGGAAGGTGGAGGATGCTGACGAACGAACACATCTGCAGTTGGTGTCCAAGAGTCATGAGAAGTTGGTAAGACCGAAGGTGTTATTGAACGTTGGAATTCAGGGGAGTGATTCTCAGGGTGTCGAAACTCTGGGTATCCCTGGACCTGAGTGCGCTCCGTTGCCTGTGGCGGCCAAAGTGTTTGCAGTAATGACTCGGATGCGAACTCAGGAGATCGAAGCCCAAAGCGAACCCATGGGACCTCTGGAGTACCAGGCGGAACGCTGGCGACGCATCAAAGTGCACCAGGACAAAGATGATCACCTGCTGCAACTCAAGGATTTCCTGAAAGGAGACACGATGAAGCTGTCGCACGCTCAAGCCAGGAAACTCGCGAAGGTCGCTGATGATTTCGTGTTGGATTCCAGAGAAGTCCTGTACCGCTTGAGTCGGTCTACCAGAGATCGACCCCGAGACATGGTTGACGAACTCAGACTCGTGGTGCCGAAAGCTCTGCGACCGGATATCCTGCATTACGCTCACGAAGATTTTCAGGGTGGGCACCAGGGGATCAGGAGGACGTACGAGAAGCTGCGCTCTGAGTTCTACTGGCACGGCATGTACGCTAATGTGGAAGTTTTCGTCAAAGAGTGTGTGGATTGCGCCAGCGGCAAGGGGCGCCCTCAGAATCCAGGGCCTTCCCCTGGGAACATCGAACCGAGGCGCCCTTTTGAAGTTGTGTCTATGGATTTCGCGACACACTTGCCTAAGTCGGACCGTGGGAACACGTTCCTGCTGCTTTTTCAGGATGCGTTCTCAGGATTCGTCATGTGTAAACCCATGAGTTCAACCACGGCGCAAGATGTCGCTGAAGTGTACGACGAGCAGGTCTTCAGGAGATTCGGCGCGAGCTCGATGCTGAGGTACGACCAAGACCCAACGTTCATGAGTGAGGTGTTCACGCGCTTCCGTGAACTTTTGGGTAGCAAGCAGCGAGCCACTCTAGCGTACCGCCCCCAGGCGAACGGACAACAGGAGCGGTCGGTGCAGACTGTCGTGAAGATAGGTCCTGACCAACCGTTGGGGAGACAGGGTGTCGCCAAAGTGAGTGAAACCCTGGGGAGTTGACAGAGTGCAACGGCCGTATCGAAGTCGACGGTGGATGGACCTGTGTGTTTTTGTAGCCTGGCCATGGTTCACCAGTTCGGAACGATTTCCTCTTTGATGGACCCGGACCAGGAGGGGCGGTTGACATGAGGCGGTCCCCAGAAAATTGCCGACGATGTGCCGTCACCTCTGTGACCTGGAGTTTGTATCGGATGCTGATTGGTGGATGACTTGGATACGGCGCGGCTGTACCCGTGTGACATGGATGGCGACTGTGGGAGAGAAGTGATTTCTCGGGATGAATCCAGCGTCTGACCGCAGATGGGCCCAACCGGCTGGAAGTGTGAATCCTGGGAGTGCACGCCCAGAATTTCAGAGAACACTCAGTCCAGCCGCGGACTTTCCCTTACGATGAGTGCCTAAAGTCTAGCGGAAAGTGTCTCTGGAGAATGTATCCCAGAGTACACCTCATCTTGCAGTGGCTCAGAGTGCCCCAGAGGATCAAATTACCCTGAGAATCAACCCACTACCACCGTGATCATGCGCAGGAGGCCGCTAAACCCGCTAAAAGTGTGGCTTTGTGGAGATGCACGCAGGCCTGCAATGTAGCAGACTTGTTACCCAGAGTGCTGCACGGAAACCCAGAGTGCCGCACGATGACCCAGAGTTCACCTCCCTGAGTACAGGTGACCCAGAGTTCCAAAGATGATTCTCTGGGTTTGGACCATAAATCCAGACTCTCTATACTGAACTTAAGTGTTTCCCGAGCCAACACCCAAGAATCCCCACAGTTCCCCATGATTCCTCAGAATTCCCAGGATTTCAGAAGATGACCCTGAGTGTCACTTGGTTTTCAGGGATTCGAGTCAGTTCGAAGCCAGTCTGCAATCAAAATGATGCGTGACCTTGAAGAACCGTCATGGATGCACAGACTGGATACTTTCGAGGAGTCGAGAGGGAGTCCTGCACCATACTAAACCAAGTCTAAGGACCCACTATTGGCACTTTCGACGCCGTGCGACAATGGATTCGCAAGCCGATCGCAAGTTTGGACCGCTGATCCCAAGGTATACTCAAGACAAGACATTTTGATCCCAAGCATAGTGAACAGAAGCTATTTGCCCGAAGAAGAGAGAGAGAGAGAGAAGTAGCTGATAAAAACCAAACAGAGTTTCTTTTACCCTGTACTGCGCAAGTGACTTCGGCTAAGCCTGCCGACGGAAATCCGGAGGACCCGAGACTACGACCGCGGGACATCAACGGCGAAGGACAGCCGTCTGTGTGGGCTCCATCAAAACTCAAGTCCAGTTAGGTGGTGACCAGCGACAGCCTTGAGCTTCCTGGGGTGATCCATCTATTCCATATCCTAGTTGGGTCACTTGCTGTGCTCGTGGTAGCCCATTTCATATTATTCCAGAGGGTATTCTGGGGTGCTAGGTAGTCGCCTCCAGGATTTTGTATTGACTGCTTGTGTGAAGGGAAAGGTAACTGATAGTGATTGTATTTTCCTCCTTTATTGGAGGTGGTGCGCGTTTGTGTGAGTCTCAGGGGAGCTAGGTCCCTGAATTTCAGACTCGAGTGAGCCTAGTGTGTGTGTGACCCACCGTCCAAGGGTCCAAAAGAATAAGT